ATTTTGAATTGTAATAATATTTCACAGTATCACTTTTTTACTGTGTTTTTATTCAAATAAATGCAGCCTTGGTAAACATATAAGGCTTCTTTCAAAAGCAGCTCTCTTTCTTCCGTAGAACACAAAAAGAGAAACTTTGCAGAATGTTTGAGCTTTTCCATATAATGAAAGTGAATGGGGACCAAGGGCTGTCAATGTCCAAAAAAAGTATATATATTTTTTTCTATAAATGTGATTCAAACAACAGGTTGGTGTGAGGAAAATTTGCTTTCGTTTTCTAAAAAACCTTCTTGTTTTAAATGTTTTGTTCACCATTTGCTTTCACTGTATGATAGAAAGCAGTTTGGACATGCTGCTAGTTATAGTTATCTGCTGAATACTTGCTTTTGTGTTCCAAGAAAATAAAAGCATATTCAAAAATCAAATTTAATCAGTATTTTTGTCATGTTTTCCAGTACAAATATTTAAACATCCTTGAAACAAGATCAATTTACTTGAGAAGCCAAATTGCATAAAATAGTAAGTCTTGTTTTCAGAGAACATATTTTGAATAAATTTTATTTTTCTCACCCCATCGGCATACTGTTTATGTTTGTTTTAAGCATAAACCTCAGTAAGTATAACTAGAGTTGTTTAGATTTATGCATCTAACAAGAATATTGCTAATGATGTAAGAAAAACAAACTTAACTTCTCATCAAATAAATGTTTTAAGGATGTTTAGATATTTGTAGAAGAAAAAAGACAAAAATACTTATTAAATAATGTTTTGCCACGGAAAACCCATATGATTTTTCCAGTGAGGCAGTGTGTGCAACATTAACCAACAGTTGCGCAGCCAAGATGATGTCAGCCGAAAAGCAAAGTCATTTTAGAAGAGGAGCAAGTTATTAATTTTTGATGAACTGTGCACGATAAGACCAGGAATGTGTATTAAAGTTACTAGGGTCAATTTTGATTTTATGTTGACTTGAAAGAATCAGATCCTCCATATCCATGACAAATATAATTAAATCCAATTCAAACAGAGCATCTAGGGAATTAATTCATCGTAATAATTTTCCCTTTAATAACGCAATGATTAATCTCTCCAAGAATGTGACTGCAAAGCCTTGGAAGATATATAATGTAGTTGAATCTTATATCCATTTTTGATAACTGGTATGATGAAACCGCTCCTTCAGACATCAAAGATTCAATTCAGGAGTTCTGAAAATGAGATTTCAGGCTTGTGTGGTCCAGCAGGTATATGGTTTTGCTCTAAAAATGTGTCAGACAGTTCGCGGTGGCAGGTGCTTTGGAAAAAGCCTGATCCACATTTCTGTGTTCTAAAATGAAAATGAGACCTGCTTCAGTCTTGTTATGAGACTTCAAATGTTCCCTCAAACATTCTGGATTTACAGACTACACAGCGAGAGCCTGTCGCTGACAAAACCACCCTTAAAAATAATTCACCAATATTTCCCAAAATGAAAAGTCTATCATCATTTGTATCATTTTTTTTTGTCCTTTTTGGAACTTGACGGTTCCTGATCAATATATGCTCTCATTCTATGGAAAAGAGCAGCGTGAACATTATTCAAAACATCTGCTTTTGTTTTCTCCAAAAGAATTTAGGGTTTGGAACAACATGAGGGAGAGTAAATATCAACATTTTTATTTTTAGATTAATTTTAGATGGTGAGGAGTGAATAGAGATGGAAACAGAAGAATGGTCAGCATGGACATTTTTTTTAGAAAGGACGGTATCTCTGGGTCTCTTCTTAGATATTAGAGGACACTGCGTCCTCCATTTATAATAGTGTCTCACGTCTAATTTCTGGAGAGGTTCAATGTCAGCACTAACAACTTCTAATGTCACCCTGTCTCTCCCCTGTGTGTGTGTGGCAGGCGTAACCTGTCATGGCACCCTAAGCTGTAATAGATCTGCTGCATAATTCATGAGACAGTTCTGTGATTATGAGCATTACTGTCCTTACTCAGCAAGCAGCCAGTCATGTGACTGATAATGTGACGGCAACGGGGACACATCCTCACCTTCCTCTGGAGTGACTGTCTTTCTTTTTTTTTTTCCTCTCATACACAAACTCAATTCCGCAATAATAATATTCTGTGAAATGTAAACTCCAAAATATAGTGAGCTTCCTGGCTGTGTACTGCTAACATTGGCAGCTGCATTTAAAGGCAAGATCCAAACCAAAATTGATAACTTGATCTCATGAGAAAATGTAGGTGTGCAATTTCTTATAATGTACCTTATAAGTGACTGATTTGGAACAATCTACATATAACAACTCCTCACGGCACAAATTATAGTGAGAATCAAAAGAGATGCAGTACATTCTAAAATAGTTTGACAATAGCATGTTGCTAAGTTGCTAAATAGTAAAAAAATCTGTCAATATTTGGGCATTTTAAGAAAATTAGAATATGCCAGTCAAAATAGCACTAATCTGGTGAATCAAACACCTCACCTCACAGTTAAATCCAGTGTAACATTAGCATATTGCTAAGCTAACAAATGAGAAACTTATATGTAGTACCACAACAAAAACCGGTGCAATATTTGGGCATTTTGAGATTTTGTGCCACACAGAATAGAGCTCCTCATGTTTAAACAACTGATTCCAACAGAGTGTAATTTTAGCATGGTGCTAATCTAAGATAACAGATCAAACAATCTAAATTTGGGCATTTGTGATTATTAGTGTGTAGCAGACAAAACAGAGCTTCTCAGGTTTATCAAACAATTGATTCCATTAGCATGGTGCTAATCTAAGACCTAAACTTTAATCCAATAGAATGTGACTTTAGCATGTTGCTAAGCTAGCAACATGAGAATCAAATAGTAACACTATAAATAACTGGTTGATATTAGGGCATTTTTATATAATTGGTACGAGCAACACAAAATAGCGCTTCCTCACACTTATCAAACAATTGATTCCATTAGCACTGTGCTAAGAAAATAACCTGACAATATAAGAGTAAACAGATGAATTATTGGTCTGTATTTGGGCATTTTGTAATTACTAGAATGTGGAAGACAAAATAGCAATCTTCGTATGAATCAAACAAGAAGCGTACTACTAATTTTAATAAAGTGTGCTATTAGCATATCGCTGTGCTAACCACATGACAATCATTAACACCCAATGGTCTGATAACTATACCTTAAAAATCAATTTCTCTTTCCATTTTTTGTGAATTTAAATGAAATAATCAAAAACTAAGATAAAATGTTTGATATAAACATCCCTTACAAAAATTAACCATGGTTTTACTACAAATGAACCCCCCCCCCAAAAAAAACAAAACAAAAAAACATGGTTACTATAGTTAAACCATGGTAACCTAGCTCACTAGATTTTGGAACAGAGCAGTCCCATTACATATGAATAAAACTAAATTTGTATGCATGGGTTTTCAAACTATCCAATCTTTCTTCCTCTCTACATCAATTTCACTCTTCTTATTTCAAGCTATCAGTTTCCTTGTTTCTTTTTCCTCTTGCAAGTGTTCAATGAATCTGACATTTGAGGCGTTTTATCTAGGGTCCTCACACCTCATTCTCTTTTTTGTATCGTAATCTCTGTCAGTCCAGCCCTCTCTTTCTCATCTGTATTCTCCAAACCTCTCTCTTTCTCTTGGGTACGGATCTCACGTGTCGCTCTCTGGTCTAATGGAATCACAGCTCAGTCTCTCAGCTGGACAGTAATCACTCTCTCTCTCTCTTTCTCTCACTCGCTCGCTCTCACACATAACACAAGGGCTTCACTTGAGCAAAAGTCCTTTCAAGCGTCGGTGCAGTCCAAAGACAGAGCATACCGTGTATAATATCTTCAAATGTTTCAAAACACCTCTTTGGTTCTGGACTACAACTCTAAGTATACAGATACAGACATCACTTCATAATGACTAGCGAATATAAAGACTAGCAAAGTGTTTTTCTTTTTGAGGGAATTTTCAACCACAAACTAGACTTTTTGTTTGATAAACTTCCATGTGTTTTGATGCGTTCTAAGGTTTAGAAAAAACCTTTTTTAAGGTTTTTTTAAAAAAAAAGGCCAAAAAAGGCTAAATGTCAATGCAAAAATAAATGGTAACACTTTACTTTAAGGACCTATTCTCGCTATTCTCGGCCAAATATTGTTCTATCCTAACAAACCATACATCAATGGAAGCCATATTTATTCAGTTTTCAGATGCTGTATAATTCCCAATTTCAAAAAATTGACTGGTTTTGTGGTCCAGGGTCACACACACACATATATATATATATATATATATATACAGTATCTATATACTATCTATATATGAAATAATACAATAAAATAAATAATTTCAGATTGAGCATTTGTTAATTAATTGCATCAAAATAGACATAAATCATAAAACACAAAACTGTTTTATATGGGTAGAAGAACACAACAAGGTAAAAATACCTCTAGAAATAAACTCCAAGGGGCGAAATTGTCCTTTAAATGGAAAATTTCCACCACTGAATGTGAATTTTCACATGCAAAATCCAATCATTTTAATAGGAATCCACATGATCAGGAATTTTGCATAAGGTTGAATTATTTCCCACATAGTTTTCGCAACTGCTTCAAGTTGGCCTCTTCAAAATCTGCAGCGTTGACCAACATAAAGTTGTTTGATTTAAAAGTGAGCAGTGCATCATACATTGTTACGCTATTGATGATGAACCTTTTTTGCACTGCAAAATTAGCAGAAACTTCCGTAAGGTGACCGCACCTTAACACTGCTAGAAAGCAAACAGCCTTGCAACCAACACCATACCAATGCTTTCTCAACCACCCTAGCATAGTTGCAGGGTTTGAAACAATTTCATATGCATAAAATCAAGTGTTACTGCCCTGTTCCAGTGATCGAACAGCATCAGCCAGGACTTAATCAATAAAAAGTCAGTGGCCTGGCCTAGTGGACCAAGTCAGTGAGGGCAGCAGTGTCAAAGGTTAAGGAAATCAGGGTAAAGAGTTACTCACAAGGTACTGTACGAAGATAGAGGTTGTCCCGAATTATTTGTTGCAGCTCATGGTCCAAAGAGCCCTTCTGGAAACGCAGGTTGAGATATTGCCTGAGATCTTTATCCACAACACCTCCTGTAACACACATACAGACGGTTAGATGACCCTCCACCGCGATACAATCTCATCTGATAACAGGCTGCTTGGCGTTTACTTCACATTCACAATAAACTCTGTGAAGAAACGCCTTTGTGTGCAGTTTTTCAGTGGTAATAAAGGACTCCGTTATGTGAATGTGTGTGGAGCCATTCTATTTTCTGAGGAAAAGGCCTGACAATACTGCAGCAAACCATGATTTAGTCACTCGATACAAAAACCTGACCTCAAAGCGATTGCCTGAAGAGCTGCGAGAATATGTCTGTGATAGTTACCACTTTGTTCTGTGGTCAAAAAGCTTTTTCAAGCTCCTAAGAGGGTCCTTCCTTCCTGTTTAGCTTGTTTCTCATCGATATAAGCACACAACGCTGCTCATACACACACACCATCATATTTTTCCTAGTACATAGAAATGATTTCTGAACACATAAGAGTGCAGGGATCCCCATAGGGCGTCCCAGTGACAAATACATACACACACACACACACACACACACATGTTGTCATTATTACATCCCGTGATGAAATGGGGAGGGGGTTCTCTTCAGAAAATGTGCTTCATCAGCAGACAGATGGATAGAGAGTGAGAATGAGAGAGGGGGTAAAGCGAAAAACAGAAAGAGAGAGAGAGACATGAGAGTATATGGAAAAAGCAAATGAAATATATAGACATAAGGAAAATAAAGTTTAATATCCTCCACCGACACACATCAACTGCATTTCTCAAAATTAGAAAATCATTAAAATAATAATATATAATAAATAAGTATTATTAACTTTATTAAGTTGGTTTCATAGCAAAGCTTAAATCCTTAAAGGGCCAGTTCACATAAATATTTGAAAGGTGCATTCGAAACGGTTACAAGACTAGTGAGAACATCCAGCATTTCTCCAAATTAAATTGTAAAAAATTCTACCTCTTTCCAACAAACATTTTTTTTAAATAATTAGTAAATTTCACATTCAAGCTTACATCATTAAACAGCTAGGTCACCCAAAAATGAACATTTGAGCTTGCATATACTAGTCAAAACATACACCACTTCTCCAAATTTCTAAATCCTTCCAACAAACAATATTTTTTAAAAAGCAACAAGAAAAATAAAAAAAGAGTAAGATTTGACAGTGCGTATATTCGGACTTTGTGTGTCACATTCAGTTTCAAGACTAGTGAGAATATACCACATTTTTCCAAATGTTCAAATTCTTCCAAAAAAAAAAAAAAGTAAATTTCAAAGAAAAATGTACAATTCAGAGAATAATGACTTTTTCAGAGAATTTTGGCCTGTTTCTCACACAAAGTGATCCTATTTTCATATTTTTTATGATCATAGATCATTTTGTCATTTTGATCCTTGATATCTTGTCCCCATCCACTTTCATTGACAATCCCAGTTCCCATCCACTTGAAAGGAAACCACGGATATCAAATAAGATTTTCAGGAAATAATAGCTTAAATTTCAGTCTGTTTCTTACACAAAGCTATCATATGGCTTTTATAAGACATACAACTCATACATACTACTTTTATAGTTTTTGTTTTTTTATAACCTTTTTAGAGCACAAAATCTCCAGTCCCCATCCACTTTCATTGTATGGAAAAGGGCAGCATGAACATATCTCAAAATTTCTCCTTTTAAACATTGAATGTTCTTTTTTGGGTGAACTATTCCTTAAACCATAATTTAAACACACGCAGTCTGGCTGAAACACAAGCCATCACCGGCGCAAAGTCATATGTCATCAAAAAGCATAAGCACAGTGCTGAAAAAAAAGACATCATACTAAGTAACTATGCTCGTGTGGGTTTCAGAAACCGTTTTTTAATGCTTCAAACGTGCACTCTAAACACTAAACATATACATCATCCATCGAATCATGAATGGACTCATACACACACCGGTGGATTTTAAAACTCCATGTAGAGCAAGCCCGATGCGTCTAGAATAACCTACTTCAGACATGCCAGTTAACCAGACATGACAATCATGCTATTTACACACACACAATCAGTTAAAGAAATCCTCTGGT